GGCCTCCCAGAGTGCTAGGATTACAGGCATGAGCCACCATGCCCAGCCCCAGCTAATTTTTTTTATTTTTATTTTTATAGAGAAAAGGTCTTGCTATGCTATCTAGTCTGGTCTCGAATTCCTGGACTCAAGCAATTTTTCTTCCCTGGCCTCCCAAAGTGCTGAGATTACAGACATGAGCCACCATGCCTGGTCAATAATTTTTTATATATTGGGTTAAAGAAAATATATTAGTAATGTTCATTTCACCCATTTCTTTTTATTTTATTTATGTGTTTACTAGAAGATTTTACATTACATGTATGGTTCACATTTTATTTCCACTGGGCAGCCTGATTTTAAGAGAAATATTAAGTAAATAACAGAACTGCTGGCGTTTGGGCATGGCAAAAGTCACGCCAGGGGTACAGGAATACATGAAGTTTGGGAAATGCTAGACAAGCGCCCCTCCCCCATTTTACAGATGAGGAAACTGAGGCACAAAGAGGAAGTGTGACCTGCCCGAAGGCCCAGGATGATCCTGAGTCGGTGGAGGTGGGCCTGATGCCAGGTGTCCCCTCTCCCACTCCCATCCACACCTGCTCCAGCCCAGCCACCACTTACCTTGCGATTGGGAGTAGTGGAGGAGGGGGTCCGGGCCTGTTTCTGGGGGGCCCGCCCTGAGAGGTTGAGTTGAGATGGGTTAATGGGGACCCCAACAGGAGGGGGGCCAAGGAGGGACTGGCGAGTAGCCTGGGGAAAGAACTGCTGCAAATTTGTAGTGGCCAGCTGGGGGGGTGTAAGGCTGGGGGCTGTCAGGCTCGGGGTTGCCATGTTGTAGCCTCGGAAGTTACCTGCGGGCAAGCAGAGAGGAGAAGAGGGGTCACACTGTGGTCAGGTGGCAGAGGCTAGGGTCAGGGTTCAGTCCCCCAGAGCATCATGGGAACATCATGGATAACTTTGAAAGGGACCCTTCCCTCCCAAGGGCAGCAAGAGGGAAGAGATGAGAGCCGAGGCTCACTGTGGGCGTGGTGGCAAGGGAGGCTTTAGGGCTGCTTTTCTGCTCCAGTTGGGGGAGGAGGGGTGCTGCCTTTTCCCTCCCAGATACCTCCCCGTCAGCAGCTGAGCACCCCCAGCAGCCATGCTTTAGGGCCTGCCTAAGGGTACATGAGACACTTGGCACAGCACCCACAGGGAGAACCAGCAAGGTGGCTGGTCCCTGGACAGGGAACCCCAATAAGACACCCCTCCCCCCACCAGCCACCCTTCATCAAAGGCCGATGACGAGCCAGGCACCGTGCCAAGCATGTTCCATACGTCCATACACTGCCCCAGTCACTTGGCCCAGCAAGCATCAGGGTAGGTTTTATTTCTACCAATAACAAAGGAGACACAAAGTAGCGGAATAGCTTGCCCCCCAGTCCCCATGAGGGGCACTGCCATCCACCCACTGGCCCTAGCCAGAATTCTGGGGGGCTCCTGATTCCTCCTTCTCTTTACCCTACCCCCATCTTAGCCACCCCCAAATTCTATCAACTCTCCTACGCCTCTTCCCCTCTCTGTGCCCATTCCCACCTGCTCCCTTACAAAGCCACTTCATCCCTTGCCTGAATTTCAGCCACAGCCTTCCCACACGTGGGAGCAAACAGTGGTCTTTCCAAAACCCTATTCTGATCTACTCCCTCCTCTGCCCAAACCGCTCCACAGCTCCCTGCCGCTCAGGAACAAAGCCCATTCCTCACTGTGCCAGGTTTGGCCCTGCCCACCTCCCCAGCCTCCTTTCTTGCCGTCCTCCCCACATGTGTCCCCACTACATTTCAGTCATATGTCCCTGTGCAGTCCTTCAAACATCCTGCCTCAGGACCTTTGCACATGCTGTTCCCTCTGCCTGGGTTGCTCTGCCCCACTAACTCCCAGCCATCCTTCAGAACTCCCTTCAGGTGTCTCCTCCAGGAGGCCTTCTCAGACTCCCTCTGTGTCCCCACAGGCTCCAGCTTCCCTGTCCTAAGATCAGCTGCATAATTTCCTTATCTGCCTCCTGCTACACCTTATCTGACTCAGCTCCACACCTCAGGGAAGGCCCAGAGCTTGGAAAGTGTGTGAGGCATGAAAGACAGTTAGAACTCTTGTCCTGAAGCTGAAACAGGAAGCACAGGGGTTAAAGGCATGGGTCAGCTGAGCTGTGAGAGCTGGGTTCAAGTCCAGACTCTATAGCACGAGCTCTGTGACCTTGAGCAAATCAGTTTCCCCTTCTTAGCCTGAGTTCCCTCATCTGCAAAATGGGGATAATAATAGTGCTTGCCTCACAATGTGTTACCAGGATTCAATGAGATATACAAATGTGCCTGGGACATAGTAAATGTTAAATTAACATTAACTTGAAACAAATACATATCCACGTATGTGCAGAGAGAGCCAATCAGCTCTTAAAAACAAGACAAAAGATGAAACACCCTAAAAGAAAAATGGACACAGGACATGGACAAGTCACAAAAAGAAATACAAATGTTTAACAGACAAATATAAAACGTTCAACTGCACTAGCATGCCAAGAAATGTAAATTAAAACATTAATGATACAGCTTTTTTGCCAACCAATTTAGTAAATTATATGTATATATATAGAAAAAGCATATAATACCCAATGTTGCCGTGGGCATGGTGAGACCGGCACTGTCATACGTGGCTGGTGGCATTGCAAACTGGTCCAGTCCTTTAGGAAAGCAATTTGGCAATACTTATCAAGAGCCATAAAACATCCATTCCCCCTGACTCAGTCAGAACATCGTCTCAAACATCATATTCATCCTAGTGTTATTTAAAACAGCAAAAAAAAAAAAAAAATCAAATAAATAAAAATAGAAAAAGAAAGGAAAAAAAGGAAACAGCTGAACAACTGGCAAGGTTTACATAAGCAAGGGCACACCCCTCCAGTGGAATATTAAATAGTTATTAAAAGTAATCTTGGCAGAGACTGTCAAATCATATGGTAAACGATCATGCCATTCTATTCAGTGAAAAAGAAACAAGATATAGCCTCTCACTTATAGCAATCATAGTAATCACATACAAATCCCAAGTCTGTGGCTAGAAAAAATGGAAAGAAATACACCAAAATACTGACTGGTGATTTTTCTTCAGGAGGTGAGTGAGTCTACAGATGACAGTTTGCATTTTCCTATCTCTTTTTTAAAAAAAAATTGTTTTCATTTTGAAGAGTGTGATTTTAAAATGAGAAAGAAAAAGGAGAAGATATGTATGTACATGCTGTGAGTCCCTGTGTGTGGGTTTTCTCTCCCACCCAGGACCGTCCACGCCCATGTGGCCCTGGTAGGGCTGAAGAGTGATGATATCTAATCAACACCTACTTACTACATGACCTTGGGCACTGTGACCTCTCTGGGCCTCAGTTTCTTCATCTTTAAAATGGGACTGTGGGTATACTTCCCTTTAGGGTTATCAGCAGCATCTTGGAAGGAAGAGCTAAGACTGCTCTCCATGTGGGGAAACTGAGGCAAGGCCACAGGCTTAATGCACAGGGCTAAAGACAACTGTACAGGGATCCAGGTGGTCAGGAGGCCCAGGCCTTGGTCCAGCTCAGCCACTGTTGATGCTGTGTGACCCAGCGCAAATGCCTTCTCTTCTCACCTTCTTCATCTGTCAAATGGCATCTAATCTGAATGTGAATGAGGTGTGCTGAGTACTGCCTGAAGAGCCAGTGCCATGGCCAAGGGCACACCTCTGTGATCGGACAGCCCTGCACACAGCTCAGCAGCTTCGGAACTTTTACTTCCTGGAGCTTCAGTGTCCTCATCTGTAAACAGGGTGCTGAGAGTAGCTCCCTCTCAGGGTCACTGTGTGGATTTAGTGAGATTTATGCAATGGGCCTGCTGAGAAGCTACCACTAAAATAGACAGAAGGGGCCCGCAGCCATACCTTGCAACTGCTGCAACAGCAAAGCTCTCTGCAGCACAGAGCCGTTGAGGAGGGAGGCCGAGCTGGTGCCCTGGAGGCTCAGAAGCTGCTGCTGTGGCTGCTGCTGGGGGAGCCCCCTGTGTGTTGGGAAGGGGTGTCAGAGGGTTATTCGGAAGGTCGGACCCTCCTCTTCCCTGAGACCTCTCACCTCCATTCTCTGCCCCCCTCTAGAGTAGACAGGACCCAAACAGGGATGCCCCTAGGAGAAAGCACTGGGATGGGGGACTCCGAGACATGGGTCTGAGAGGCAGAGCTAGAGCCACCGGTCCCCTAAGTGGGAAACTCACCGGCTGACGGCCAAGGGCAAGGGGGCCTGTGATGGAGACTGCTGGAGCAGCTGCTGGAGCTGCAGCAACTGCTGCTGCTGCCATTGCTGCTGCTGGAGCTGCTGCTGCTGCAACTGCTGGAGCTGCTGCTGCTGCAACTGCTGGAGCTGCTGCTGCTGCAGCTGCTGCTGCTGCGGCTGGTTGAACATGGCGGCTGGGGGCAGGAAGGGGAGTAAGGCAGTGTCCCCACCGTAGGCTGGTGCAGCTCCCCTCCCACCCATGGCCACTCGCTGCAACCCACCGCCTGCAAACACTGCCTGCTGAGCCTCACGGCCACACTCCCAGGCCTGACAAGAGCGTGCCACATCTGCGCCCCCATCCTTCCAATCCACCTCCAATCCTGCCAGAAGCAGGATTCTACCACCCTCCTGCCAATTTCCCCCACGTCCTGCCAATAGTCCCTCCTTCAAATCCCCAGCCTCGCCCTCCATCTCTCCAACTCTGGCGGCTCCATCCTTCCAACCCAAATACACCTGCCACCCCCACCCTCAGCCTCCATCTGCGCCCATCACTTCATGAGGCGGCGCCTCCCCACTCACACCCCCTTTGTGATAATGAGATCGTCTCCCTCGTGCCCATGTTGTGACAATAACATCCACACCCGCCGCCAACCTTTCCCTGCCCTCTGCCCCCTCCGCCAGCCCCTCCCCCACAGATACCGCCACCACTGAATCCCGTGACCCTGGCGCGTGCAGAGCCCGTAGCCTCCAGCCCAGCTGCACTGCCCCGGCCGTCGCCCCCACCCGCCGCGGCCCGGCCCGGGCGCAGTCCCGCACCTTGCTCCCCCGCGCGGTTTCTGCCGCGGCCACGGTGCAGCCTCAGCCCCGCGCCCCTTCAGGTCTCGCGCCGCCCTCGCCACGCGCGGGCCGGGCGGCTCCGGCTCGCAGGCTCCAGGGCTCCCCGCGGCTCCGCCGGGGCCAGTAGCTCGGAAGGCCCGTCTGTGGGCGGGGCCGGGCCGGAGCAGCGCCCCCTGGAGGCCCGGAGGTCCTGGAGCCGCCGGCGCCGCTCACCGGTCACGTTGCGGAGGCGCAGTCAGCTCACCCCGCGCCCGGGAGCCTGCGGACGCGGCTCGGGGGTGCCAGGGGGTCCTGGGCAGCGCAGACCCTCCGCCGCGCGCCCTCTTCATTGGGAAGGGGCAGCTCTGAGCCCGAGGTCTGTCTGTCTCCCGGAGGAGTCTGTCGTCCGGCGGGGACACTGCGGGGCACTTCCAGGAGGACCTGTCCCCAACCGACCTCCCCGTGGCCGTCCCCGGCCCGAGATCCTGGGGGCCCGCGCGCGGCTGCGGTGGGAGGGGGCGTGCAGCCCGCCCGTGTACATTCGGGCCCGGCCCGGCCAGGGGGCGGCCAAGGTCGCACCGCCCGGCCGGAGCTTGCCCTGGAAGGGGATGAGGGGGGCCCACTTGAAAGTATTTTTTCTCATTAGATTTGGCTGGGGTGTGTGTGAGGAGGGCTGAGTTCAGTTATCAAATACGGCCCTGCCCCGCATCCTGCCCCTACAGCTGTCCTGCCCCCAAGGACCGCTTGAATGACGACGACTTTATGCCCCGTCCCGGAGCCCGAACCGTCCCTGTTCGTCGGTGGCCACCCCTTCCCCTTTCCTGCGGCTGGCGGCGGCGGTAAGCGCAGCGCCGACAGCGTGCGGGCCCCGCGCGGCTGGCACCGGGGACGCGCGGCCCGCCCCAGCCCGGTACTGTGACCGAGGGCGCTCCAGCCGCGGAACCCGCGTGTCGACAAATCACTGCAGTCGCGTGACGAGGGCTGCCCCGAGCTGTGCCCCGGCTCTGCTGCGGCGGGCGGCGGCTGGGGAGCCTAGCTCGGCCCGGACCAGTCGCGAAAGTGGCCCAGCGTGGCCGGAGCGGGGCGGCGGCTGGGCCGGGGGGACGCCGGCGCCCGCGCGTGCGGAGGCAGCCTGCGAGGTGGGCTGCGAGCGCCGGACCCAGGAGGCGGCCCTACCCGCGAAGGGCAAGGGCGGGGAGCTCCAGGCAGGATGGGAAGCCCGCGAGTGGCAGCAGCAAATCCGCGGATTAGAAAACTCGCTCTGGCGAGAACCAAGACCGGCAGTGGGGAAGGAGAGAGGACCGCCCAGGCTGCCAGCCAGGCCGATGCTCGCGGACACCTTGATGCCAGCGCTGGAGACGCCCAGGGTCGAATCGGGGCTCCCTGTCTTCTGGCTGGGCCACCTGGCCCGCAGGAGTCCTCTCAGCCAGTTTCCGCGTCTGTCAAATGGGTGCCCCCTCCCCTGGGAGTGTGAGGATGACATTACATAATGCTTAGCACTGGCACCTGGCGCAGAGCGAGCTTAGCAAATTGCCGAAGTAAAAATAAACTAAAAATAAGGCTCATACTGGGGAAGGTAGGGAAGCCAGCAAGCACTAGCTTCCTGCGTTGTTGGTTCATCGTTCTGGAAAGCAATTTGCAAATTTTCTGTCAAGACTCTTGAATACGTTCTGCCCTTTGACAGGGTAACCCCACTTGTAGGGATCTAGCCTAAGAAAATGATCAGAAATGAGACTTAAAAGCCAGCAGGTTGCTCACAGAAACATTATTTATACTAGCTGTCTGGAAAATAATCAACTTCAGAGGAACAGCCAAATAAATCATGGTGTCTGCCTCTTAAGGAATAGCACACAGCCATCAGAAATTGTGTTTTCAAAGAATATTTAAACACTCACAATATGATGTAAAGTGAGCTCGGCAGGTAACAAAATTGCATGCACATTATAATCCTGGTTTTGGAAAGAATAAATATATGTGTGTAGTGGGCTCATGGGGTTTTTCACTTTCGCTCCTTTTTTCTAATTTGCTGTGTTCGGTTTGGATAACTTTATCACGCAGGGAGAGTGAGCTTTTTTTTTTTTTTAATGTGTAAGACCTTGTGCTGCCTCCTTGAAGACCAGACAAGAGAGTGGATGGGAACACTCTGGGGACACTGTTTAGGGCTAATTGCTTTTAATCAAACCTTTGCAGGCACAGCCCCCGGAAGAATATCTTTGGTGGCAGAAGAGAGGCCGCATCTCTATGTACCCCAAATAAAGTTGAGGCTGTGGAAACACCTTGAGGCCTTTTTCTTGCCTCTGATTTGAGATGCCCCTTTATCATGAGATAAATTCTTAGACTCTGTGGATCTATGTGCAGACCTGTTCTCCCTAGGAATCTACCATCCCTTCTCATGATGATACCACATGCTGTGATTATTACAGCTTTGGAATATGTTTTAGAGCCTGATAGTACAAGTCTCTGACATTGTTATTATTTAAATTTTTTTTTGCCAATTTCTAATCATGTATTTTTTTTTCAGATAAATTACAGAATTTTTTCAAACCTTCCCCAGCCCCAAATTCCCAGCAGCATCCTGATTGGTGTTGCACTAAGTGTGCTTAAGTTGGAGAAGAACTCACATCTTTACCCTGAGTTTTTCAGTTTAAGAATGAGGTAAGGCCAGGCACGGTGGCTCACACCTATAATCCCAGCACTTTGGGAGGCTGAGGCGAGAAGATTGCTGGAGGTCAGGAGTTCAAGACCAGCCTGGACAACAGGGCAAGACCCTGTCTCTACAAAAAATTCTTTAAAAATCGGCTGGGTGTGGTGTCATGTGTCTGTAATCCCAGATACTTAGGAGTCAGAGGCGGCCGGATCACTTGAGCCCAGGAGTTCAAGTTTGCAATAAGCTATAATCACACCACTGCACTCCAGCCTGGATGACAGAGTGAGACCCTATCTCTAAAAAAAAAAAAAAAGAATGAGGTAAATGCACATTCTGTGCAAGTAACAAATACTCATATGTACCCCAGAAATACAAAAAATAGTATGTATCAATAAAAATCAGCAAATCTAAGCAAGCCTCTTAAAAAAATGAAGTAAATGTCTCCATTCATTCAAGACTTGCATTATGTTACGGTTTTGCAGGTTCCTCCACCTAGCACTTGTGGTGCAGTTTCTATGGCGGCTGTTGTCGCTATTTTCCCAGTACACTTTCTAACCGGCTATTGATTATGGTATCTTTATCTTGTAATCTGCCACCTCCCCACCTTGCATTATTTCTGTCCTCAGCAATGTCATGTGCCCTTGATGACAGAAGCAGCTGCTGAGTTGTCCCCTTGTCCTTGGGACCCAGCTCAGAGCCCTGCACACCACAAGGTTGCCTGGTGAAGGTCGATTAAATGAGTGAGTGAGTGAATGAAGGAATGGCTTACTCCAAAATGCGATTTCTTCCCTTTGTCCTTGGATTAGTGTTCATCATGGCAGTTCTCTCCTTGACATCTGTGTCCATCACCCTACAGAGGCAAGCCCCAGCGAGGTACCCAGCGCAGCACACCACCCCAGCATGGGCAATCAGGTGGGCCCCACAATGACATGCCAGCTCAGAATCCCCAGAAACAGGCGGTGCTCAGCAACATCTCCTAGTCAGACAAGAGGCAGAGAAAAATACAAGACCATATGCTTATCATGTAGCCTCCCCAGTGGCTGTCACCCACCTGCGCCTTTTTCTATAAATAAACGTGGTGTGAGACACAGAGGACTGAGGTGGGGAGCAGCAGGATGGGCACAGCCTTGTTGCTGCCCCTACTTTCCGGGGAGACCCAGGATAGATCCCTTCCTGACTTGCGGCCTTGGTTTGGCCACCTCTGCTGGACAGGACCGACCTGTGGGTAGCAGGCTCTCCCTCCTTATCATGGTCGCCACACCCGCTACCTTCGTGAGACTGAAGAGGGTTCTTTGGGCACTGTACTACACTATTCACAGCCCACATTATTCACAGTTCCAGGCACTGTTCCAGTGTGTTACCTAAATGATTATTACTTCACTGAATCCTCACACAATCCTATGAGTTAGGCATCATCGTTACCCCCTTTTACAGATGAAGAAACTGAGGCTCATGGAGGTGAAGTGACTTGCCCAAGGTCATCAGGTGAGAGAGTGGCAGAGGTGGGATTTGAATGCCAGGCAGTCTGGCTCCAGACTTAACTATGGCACAATCGGCATGTATGGGCACCTGCCCTGTTCTGGGCTGGGGGGCGCTCCTTACCATGAGATGGGGCAGTGCAGGCACAGAATCCTGAACTGCCAGTGCCCAAAAGCCTAGGAAATCTTGCTGCCCAGCCCCCAACCATGTAGAGAAGGGCACTGCGTGTGCCCCATCCTGGTCCAGCTG